TGTACATACTGTTCATGTACGAAACACATAATCACTGCCAATTGAGAAGGCGATGGCTTAGTGATATTATTGCTAGACTAGAGACCCAGATAATGTTCTGGGGACCTGGATTCAAATCCTGCCAGGGCAAGCAGTGGAATTTGAATTCAATGAAAATCTGCAACTATGAGTCCACACCTGACCATGAAACCATTGCCAAGTGTTGGGGAAAAACACATCTGCTTCATTAAGATTTCTGAAGAAGGGTCAAGACCCGAAGCATCAGCTTTCCTGCTGCTCTGATGCTGCTTGGTCTGCTGTGTTCATCCAGCTCTACACCTTGTTATCTCTGCTTCACTAATGTCCTTTAGGGAAGGAAATTGCCACCCTTACCTGGTCTGGTCCTACATGACTTCAGACCCACAATAATGTGGTTGACTCTCAAATTCCCTCTGGTGATTATAGATGGGCAATAAATGCTGGCCTAGCCAGTGACACTCATGTCCTGTGAACAATTTTTTTAAAAAATCCCATCGGAGTTTACTTGAATACGTTGTACATACCAGTGGTGGCCATACCACATAAACCTTAGGAATTTATTGATGTTACTTCTTATTCTATACAAGGTACTAGCTACATTCTTGTGGTACCTCTTAACCCTCTTTCTGCCAGTCAATTACTGACAACATTCTTAGCCAGTTTTAGCAGCTTGCATATGAACAGTTTCTGAATTTGCTGTCTTTTACAACAATGATATCAATACAGGTAAGGACATTGCAAATTTTTAATGTTAAATCACTGACTTATGACAGAAGTTGGGTTGTGTGTCCCCATGCTGAGTTGGGAAGATACTGGGTGTGAATGCAGACTTGGTGGAAAGCCTGTTTCCTGCATGGCACTATATTATAGAAACCCTACAGTGTGGAAGCAGGCCATTTGGCCCATCGAGTTCAATGTATGAATGTACCAATAAAAGACCAGCCCTCCACTCCACACCCATCATCCCACTCCTCACACTCCTGTGGCTCATTCATGTCAGGACATGCCATCTCATGCCCTGAACACATTCCAAAACCTCTCATAGCCTCTGTGCCAATATACACCAATAGAATCAAGGACATAGAGTCATAGATTCATACAGTGTGGAAACACACCCTTTGGACCAACCATAGCCAGGCTCTATTCCTCATTCTTTCTGTGCCAAACTATGCCCCATGTATTCACTCCTATAGATGTGAATCTAAGACCCTCTACCAATGCCCCCATGCCATGTCTGGGAGTTGCACAAGATTCCATCCATGGTTTTTGTCACCAGCAGTATTAATGTTGATAACAAGAATCATTAGACAGCAGGGAAAAAAATTGTTGGCCTGGGAGCAACTCATTCTACACGAACCATGTCAAGCTGGGCTGCTCAGATGGCATCCAGTGTGAAATAGGAAGAATTTAAACACAGCAGCATAATATTTATATAGCCATTTGATGCTTGTTATTGGATCCTTTTGTGAAGTTGCCTGTGTAGTGATTGCAATGAGGTCAGCCAAGTGGACCTTATTGAATATGAGCTCTCTGATTGAGGCTGTTAATGTGATCCAATCAGGGAGCCCTGGCTGACAGATATAACCAGGAGTATCAAAGGTTCTATTACCTCTGAGAGCTGGCTCTGAGGGAGCTGGATCAGTGTCAAGGACTGCCCATGTGTAAATAAAGGATGACTTGGTAATGGGATACTGGTCTTTGTGGAGTTATTTCGGTGACAATGCGAGAAAAGCATGCTCCTGAAGAAATTCACTCAAAACAGTAGTCTTTGAGTTGGGGTAAGCATTTCTGGGTTCATGCCATTATTTGGGAAGTTTGACTCGTTCCATCCTGCCATCAAAGACTGGGCCCATTCTGTGGAAAGAATGTAGTTTTTTCCAGGCAAATGATATTGGGGCAGATGAAAGGCAATGACCAATTCTCCTAACAGCTTGTGGATCCGCAGCTTTCTCAGTTATGAGGAGCCTAACTTTCCCTGAGACACCAGATACTAAGACCTTTCAAGATCTGACAGATTTAGTAAAAGAATATTACGACCCCAAGCCTCCTCTAATTCTGAGATGCTATCAGTTTTACTCGGTAATTCTAGAATAAGGAGAATCTATATTGAGATTTCTGACTGGGATGAGACGACTGGCAGATGCAAGTGACTTTGGATTAACCCGTAATGAGATATTGAGAAACCGTTTGGTATGTGTGATTAATGATGTAACCATGCAAAAGAGCCTACTGGCTGAAGCCGAACTGGACTTCACACAGACGCTACAACTGACTTTATCATTGCCAAATGCAGAAAGTGGAGCATATGAGTTGCAGGATATTTCAATGGAAATGGACACCCTCGCCAGTCCGACTGAGCTTGGGGAACACAGCTTGAGTGAAGGCTCAGGCCCAATTTTGATGGGGCGATATTGGTTGAGAAAAATTCATCTAGATTGGCTTAACATTTTTCGATTAGAAAATGTCTGCCTGAGTGACATCTTAACTAAATACCAGGAGGTTTTTCAGGAAGGTCAAGGGACTATCAAAAGAGCCAGGGTCGCCTTGCAAGTTGACCAAGAAGCAATTCCACGATTCTGCAAGGCCCTCCCAGTGCTACTTGCCTTTGGGGCAAAAGTAGAGGCAGAATCAGGAGGCTGGAAAGTGAAGGAATCATCAAACCAGCACAGTTTGTGGAATGGGCAGCACCAGTCATACTGATTGTGAAGCCTGATGGGTTGGTTCACATTTGTGGGAATTTTAAACAAACGGTAAACTGCTTTTCACAGCTGGATAAATAACCAGTCCCTCGCATGGAGAATTTATATGCAAATCTGGTAAAGGGGGCTGTCCTTCATGAAGCTGGACATGAGCCATGCGTACTTGAAATTGTGGTTAGATGAGGTTTCCCAGAAATAAAAAACAATTAATACACATAAGGGTTTGTACCAATATATAAGACTGCCATTTGGTATATCGTCAGTCTGTGCAGTTTTTCAGCAGATGACGGAGGACATTTGACAAGGTCCACCCCAGGTCACCATTTATCTAGATGACGTGCTAATAACAGGGAAGACCAATAGCGAGCACTAAAAGAACTTGGACGTAGTCTTTAGACATTCCTCCCAGGTGGCCGTATGCCTTAAGAGGGAAAAATGTGTGTTCCAGGCACTTAAGTGACCTATTTGGGCTACATAGTTGACAAGACTGGTTTACTCCTATTGGAAGATAAAGTGAGGGCAATCAAAGGTGCCCCAGCTTCCACGTCTGTACTAGAGCTTAGGTCTTTCCTTGGTCTGGTGAAATGTTATGGAACACAACCTGGCCTCCATCCTTGCAACTTTGCATCAACTCTTAAAAAAGGGTCAGCCTTGGAAATGGTCGCGTAGCCAAGACATAGATTTCAGGGAAATGAAGAAACAGCTATCATTGTCTAAGGTGTTGGCACACTATGATCCCAAATGAGATCTGATACTGACATGCGATGCCTCTCTGTGGTGCATTAGAGGTCCAGTGGAGAGGAACAGCCATGGTGTACACATCCAGGACTTTGGCTAATACACAGTATAAATATGACCAGATTTGGAAGGAATGTGTAGCAGTCATATTTGGAGTCAGGAAGTTCCATCAATACCTTTATGGATATAAATTTGTAATAATAACAGACTGAAACCCCTGCTAGGCCTGCTGAAAGAGGGCAAGACGCTGCCTCCCATATTTTCAGGCGAATTCACTGGTTGGCTCTAATACTAACTGCATATGATTACAAGTTAGAACACTGTCTGGGAGGCCAAGTAGCAAATGTGGGTGTATTGAGCCATCTCCCACTGGCAGAAACACCACGGGTGGTACCACCATTGGAAGAGTCCATAATGGTTTTAAATTTTCTGGACACACTTCCAGCCATGGCTGACAATATCAAACTTTGGATGCAGAAAGATCCGGTCGTGACAAAACTGAAACAACTGGTAGTGATGGGGAGAACTAAAGGGCCGTTACAAACAGAAACTAAACCTTTTTGAACCTGGTCAGACCAGATCAGAGTAGAGGATGGCATACTATTATGGATGCAGACATAGATACATTGGTTGGACAGTGCCCAGAGTGCCAACAAGGACAAAAATTACCCCCAGCAGTTCCCCAACATTAATGGGAATGGCCGAGTAAACCCTGGACTCCATTATACATCCAGTATGCAGGTCCTTTCATGGGCTCAATGTTCCTAGTCATTGTGGTCACCCAAAGAAAGCTGGATGTACATAGAGTTTGTTTGTCAAACACAGAGACGACAATAGGAAAACTGCATGCACCTTTCCCAGAAGTGTTAGTTGCAGATGTATCCTCTTATAGCCGGGTAATTCTGGGCCTGTTTTGGAGTACTTAGTGAGCTGCACATCAAATTCTGGTTTCTATAAACTATTTTGTGTTTGTATTGGGCTGCTTTTGCCTGGTTTGCAAACAGTTACACTGCAGACATGAATGGTTGGGTAGATTTACACCATACATTTTCCATTATTGCATACTCTCCCAATAATGGACTTATTAAAACTATAAGCACAGTTCCAAGTGCAGGTTATCTAAGCCCTTGCATGTTCAGTACTATCACTTCAATGCTTTTTTTTTTCCTCTCATTAGAAAGCCAGGGAATCCGTCTTTTATTGACTTTATCTACATGCTCTGCTATGTGTATATTGATCTTTGTATCTGCACTTTAAAGTCCCTCTGATCCCGTGCTCCACTTACAATCTTGCATTTTGGATGTAAGAGTAAGAAAATTGTATTGCTTTACACCTTAGTGTGACACCTAATTGCCTGTGACTGCTGACCAAACTGTCTTCTGCTGACGACTTTTAACAATCATTGTAACTTATACACAAACATACACACACACACACACACACCCTCTAATTCGGTGTTACTGCCAGTTTTGCTGTTTTTCCCCTAACTTCTATAACTTGATTGTTTATCTCTATTTAAGATGCCATATCTCTTTTCTGTTTCAGGGGGTATTTTTGAGTCAGTGGAGCAAGCCCCATCGGGGGCAGAGGAACTAGCCTTTAAGTTTGCATTAAATACAATCAACAGAAATAGAACGCTGCTGCCAAACACAACGTTAACCTATGACATCCAAAGGATAAATATTTACGACAGTTTTGAAGCATCCAGAAAAGGTAAAGTACTCTGCACAATCTTTGCATTAGATCTAATTGTATTCTCTGTGCTTACCCTAGAAACTGGTCCAGTTAGCAAAATTATCGTCAGAATATATATGAAATGATAACTAGGCTCTTAGGCAAATTGTAATTTGAAAGTAAACATTACAACAACATGCAAATTATTGCTTTTTTGTGTGATAGTTTCTTTCTCCCCCCCGAATCATTCCTGCTAGCACATCGGCTTTCTCTCCTCTCATTATTGACAGAATTATATATCTCCTCTTCAGCCTGTGATCAACTGTCCCTTGGGGTGGCAGCCATCTTTGGGCCTTCTCATAGTTCTTCAGCTAACGCAGTGCAGTCCATTTGCAATGCTCTCGGGGTTCCCCACATACAGACCCGGTGGAAGCATCAAGTGTCAGACAACAGGGATTCTTTCTACGTCAACCTGTACCCAGACTTCTCATCTCTCAGTCAAGCCATTCTGGATCTGGTACATTTCTTCAAATGGAAAACTGTCACCGTGGTGTATGATGACAGCACAGGTATGTGTACACACTGTAGAAACAAAGATAAGCATCCTCTTAAGGTGTTGGCTCCAAATGACTGCAATATTGATCTATCTGTAGTAATCTTCAGAAAAGCAAATGAAGGTCTGTGCTGTCTAAAGTGATTAAACATGTCAAATTGCATTTTGATTACATGGTATTTGGATGCTTTGAAGGTTCTGTTCAGTTTTTTCTTCTGACTAGCATGTGTTCTTCAGGCCTCAGTGCTGTAGAGAAATGGGCTGAGGAAGCAGGCTTATACAGTCATAGTGTCAGAGTCATGCAACAAGGAAACAGACCCTTCAGAAACAGACTTGTCCATGCCGACCAAGTTTCCCAAACTAAGTTAGTCCCACCTGACTGTGTTTGGTCCATTTCCCTTTAAACCTTGTTCCTGTCCAAATGTCTTTTAAATGTTGTAACTGTACCTGCATCTACCAATTCCTCTGGCAGTTCATTGGTAGACCTAGTGTCCTCAGTCAGGTTTCTGTTATTCCATACTCTCTTGCTCAGCTTCAACAGAACAACCACAGCTTTTGCAAAATGAATGTTGCATTCAACATCTGAGACAGATTGCCTGTGGCTGTTGAGCCTAAATGTGAGATGCTCATCTTGCAGTGTCACATTGTTTATGCTGATGGGTTAATAGAAACACAGTGATATCCATCCCATTGTCATTGAAAAGGTTGGGGTTCTCCTTGGAGTGCAGGAGATGGAGGAGAGATTTGATAGAGGTGTGCAGGACTGTGATAGGCTGAAATAAAATGGACAAAGAAAAGCTCTTCCCATTACAGGTGGGACAAGTACGAGGTGACACCAAATTAGAGTCAGCTGGGAGAAGCTGGGAGGGAATCCTAGGGAACAGGATTTACATGTATTTGGAAAGGCAAAGACGATTAGAGATAGTCAATATGGCTTTGTCTGTGGGAAATCATGTCTCACAAACTTGATAGAGTTTTTTGAAGAAGTAACAAAGAGGATTGATGAGGGCAGAGTGATGGACGTGATCCATATGGCGTTCAGTAAGGCGTTCGTCAATGTTCCTCATGGTAGACTGGTTAGCAAGGTTAGATTACATGGAATAGAGGGACAACTAGCTATTTAGATACAGAACTGGTTCAAAGGTAAAAGGCAGTGATTGGTGGTGGAGAGTTGCTTTTCAGACTGGAGGCTTGTGACCAGCAGCATGAGACAAGGATCGGTGCTGGGCATGCAACAAGGATCGGTGCTGGGTCCACTGCTTTTTATCATTTATATAAATTAATTGGATGTATAGGAGGTATAATTAATATGTTTGCAGATGATACAATAATTGGAGGAGTAGTGGACAGCAAAGAAGGTTACTTCAGAGTACAATAGGATCTTGATCAGATGGGCCAATGGGCCAAGGAGTGGCAGATGGAGTTCAATTTAGATAAATGTCAGGTGCTGCATTTTGGAAAGGCAAATCAGGGCAGGACTTATACACTTAATAGTGAGGCCCTGGGAGTGTTGCTGAACAAAGACACTTTGGAGTGCAGGTTCATAGTTCCTTGAAAGTGGAGCCTCAGGTAGATAGGATAGTGAAGAAGGCATTTGGTACGCTTGCCTTTGTTGGTCAGTGCATTGAGTATAGGAGTTGGGAGGTCATGTTGCGGCTGTACAGGACATTGGTTAGGCCACTTTTGGAATACTGCATTCAATTCTGGACTCCCTTCTATAGGGATGATGTTGTGAAACTTGAAAGGGTTCAGGAAAGATTTATAAGGAGGTTGCCAGGGTTGGAGGGTTTGAGCTGTAGGGAGAGGCTGAATAGGCTGGGGCTATTTTCCCTGGAGTATCGGAGGCTGAGAATGACCTTATAGAATTTTATATAATCACGGATAGGCTAAATAGGGCATGGTTACGGTAAATGGATGTGGTCTTTTCCCTTGGGTGGGGGAGTCCAAAACTAGATGGCATAAGTTTAAGGTGAGATTTAAGATTTAAGACGGATCTAAGGGGCAACCTTTTCACACAAAGTATGGTACGAGTATGGAATGAGCTGCCAGAGGAAGTGGTGGAGGCTGGCACAATTACAACATTTAAAAGGCACATGGATGGGTATATGAATAAGAGAGGTTGAGAGAGATATGGGCTAAATGTCTGCAAATAGGACTAGATTAATTTAGGATATCTGATCGGCATGGATGAGTTGGACCCATAACCTATTTCCCAGGCTGTGCTGGGGGCAGCTCCAAATGCATCCTATAAAAAACCTACTCTATATTGTCAGAAGCTGCCTAAGCATGACCCTTTACTCCACTGTCATAACACTCTACCCAAGCCCACTCACACTGTTGTGGATTGATACTTAAAGCTTGTGTTGCATGTGCTTGATTGTGCTAAATTCTAGTGCAGTTATATTCACCAGCCCTTCATTATTTCTGAGAGTGTTTTAACTTTTCATTTGACTTTTACCTTGACACATTTAATCAATTCTTTTAGTTACCAGTAGCTGCTTAAATTTTTCTTGACAATCTGGATTAACATCAGTCCTCTGCATAACACCTGAAGAGAATATCTCACTCACACAGTACACAAATGTCTCAAGAATATTGCGCACTGACTCTGCTCATATAATTAGTGCATTCCTGGTGATTTTTTTGTCCAAAAATTAGTACCTAGTTCATAGCTGATCCCCAAAACTGGCTGCTTTTAGCTGCTTTAATTATGATCTTAAAATGTATCAAAAGTTGCACTCTGTGCCTAGTCAAAACTCATGCTAATTTGATTGTTCATGTTCTCAAAATCAATTTTATGATTACACGTTGTAAAGCTATACTGTCCAGTTTTCTGATGGAATGAAAGGAAAATCGGCTCAAATTTTGGTGGATTTTTATTATGCAGATTATTGAGTTTAAGGTTCAGCTAAAGTGCAGTGCTCGGCTCCAAGCAAAGAACCAGATCAGTTATTACGGTTGTCTTTCACATATAATTTCATTTTCTGGTATGATATGGTTTTCAAATAACAATGTAAGGACAATGTATATCTTTTTTTCACTGTAAGCTTCTGAAGATCTATGACCTTCATTGTCATGTGGAGCCAGAATGAGATGAGAATTGTCCTGAATCCACCTGCAATGGATGGCAATATAAATGGAGCATTAAATTTACTGTCAAGAATGGAAAAATGTTTAGACAGAAAGAATGATTCAGCAGGCTGAGACAATGACAGAGCCAGAATAGTCCGCAGGGATCTTCCTAACAGACTATCTTGCACTATTTGTTCCAGGCATTAAACATGCATATTTTTATAGAACTGCAAAGGCCCTATCTACGTAGAAAAGATTGAGCTATGAGAACCCAATAAAGTTTAGCTTTGTACCAGTATCTCAGGGAAATAGATTAAGAACTCATTACTATAACCAGCAAAGTGATTCCTTGGTTCAGTATTTCTCAATTGAACTTTAAGCCTTTCTGCTAATATTAATTCAGCTTCGGTCACAACCAGAAAACAGTATACAATTAAGATGGGGAGCTACAGCATCATAACATGATATGTTATATTTATATTTATAACATAAATGTATCATGTATTTTTATAAACTTATGAAGAACATAGGAGTAGGAGCAGAATATTTTGTGTCATTCAGCCGTTCAATTAGATCATAGTTGATCTGCACCTCAACTCCATTTATTTCCAACATTCACCATTTATCATTACATGTCTAGTTTGTGGTGTGCTGATATAATAAACATGTAGTTACAGAAGGAAATATTGGTGTCAATATATGCAGTATATTAAAAAGACCCCTTTAATGAGGACAATTGGCAGAGATTAGGTTTAAGGAAGGGGCTATTTTCCTTAGGAGACTGAAAGATTCTGGGAAGCATCTCAAGGATGCTTATTGTTTTTTCAAATAATAACATTCCAAGGATTCTTCTTAGTGTCAGGAAAAAAATGTTGGTTAAATTGTGAGATTTAGATGTAACATTTTTTCCATTTTGTCAATGGAGTTTATATGCAAGGATAACACACCATAATGCAATTTATCCTGCGATTGAACAAAACTTGTGCAATAGTTTAAGTATCTGTAGAATTCTTTTCCTTTGGGCAATGTTATTCTGGAAAAATTGCTAATTGAAACTAGTAAACAAAATTTCATCACTGCAAATGAGAAGGAAAAGTCCTTAATTTAGAGTTTACCTCCATGGCCCCAAATTGAATTTTGCATCTCAAGCTTTCCTTCACAGAACTAGTAGTGACCCAATTCTTATATATCCTTATTTGATTAAAGAGCATTTTATCTGTCTTGCAATGTGGGTTATGGTGATAGCTGCAATGACTCAAAGGGATAGAGAGGAATCAGAACACTTGAGGAATTTGCAATGTCCTAATGAATTTTTAAGCATGATAATTAAAGCATGGTTGTGCATTTTGAAAGCTGACAGGATTATGCAGTCAGACTTGAAGAGACATTTTGACTATTGTATTTCAAATAACTGACAACATTTTGATTTGTGAATTATGAGTTTCTTAATGCTGGTGAAAGAATTTTAGAAAGGCTTGTAGCAGTTTCATCTGTGACAAGTGGTTAACAAGATACTGACTGGGACTTAGTTTCCTGCAGTCGTGGAACAGCAACTAATGCAACATCTGCCAGAATGAATTACTTTTCAGTGGCTAGGGACTGCCTCCTGTGGAGTAAGCGTGGAATCTTCCCTTCTTGTAGAGCTGCAGAGAGGTAGTAATGAGGGATGGGTTGGGGGTCTGCAGATATTGTGTGGGTTGGCATAGGGGAGACATCCACTGCCTTCCCATCACCACAGGAATGAAGTTCTGGGCAGGAAGGCCTAAGCTCATCTTTTCCATGCTGCTGCCAATTGAGATGATGAAATGGTCAATTAACCACTTATTCTGCCTGGCCTGCAACTACTTCAACTTCAGGTAGGGTGAGACAAGCATGGCCTAACCAATAGATAAAGCAGTGCAGGTAGGGCTGTCAGTTTTGGGATGGATTGGGAATAAGAGGAAAGACTTTGTGAAAGACTGTGGGACTAGATACCTTTTTAATGAGTAACAAGACTGTACAAACTCAGAAGGTTCCTGACTTGATTCTAACTCAGTCAGCAGGTATCAGCAAAACATTGCAATGGGCATCAATATCCACAGACTACAGCAGCAGAGAAAAACATCATCAAAGGCACCATATGCTCCTGAATGCCATTCACCAACCGCTGATTGGCATGCACGGGGATAGCATGGCACCTTTGCAGTCAAACAGCCATGTGCAGGCATAAATTGCATTTAGATAGTGCCATTAACATATCAAAATGTCCTAAGGCACTTCACTGGAGTTTTAAACCCCAGAGCAGGAAGTCCCACTCACCTGGAGCTGCTGACCGGTCACAGGTTGCAAGCTTCATTACTAAACAGCACTTGCTGCTGCTGGTTCAACAGCCCTTGGACTCCCAGATGGACGATCACCGCCAAGAATCTTCAGCGCTTATGGGTGCAGCAGAGAGGGTGTTGTGGGGAGCACAGTGTTCCAGCTGAGTGGGCTTTAAAACTCCAGTGAAGTGCCTTGGAACATTTTGATATGTTAATAGCACTATCTAAATGTAATTTATGCCTGCACATGGCTGTTTGACTGCAAAGGTGCCATGCTATCCCCGTGCATGCCAATCAACGGTTGGTGAATGGCATTCAGGTGCACATGGTGCCTTTGATGATGTTTTTCTCTGCTGTCGTAGTCTGTGGATGTTGATGCCCATTGCAATGTTTTGCTGATACCTGCTGACTGAGTTAGAATCAAGTCAGGAACCTTCTGAGTTTGTACAGTCTTGTTACTCATTGAATAAGGTATCCAGTCCCACAGTCTTTCACAAAGTCTTTCCTCTTATTCCCAATCCATCCCAAAACTGACAGCCCTACCTATGTTTTGCTGATACCTGCTGACTGAGTTTGAATCAAGTCCGGGGCCTTTTCAGTTTGCAAAGTGTTGCTACTCATGAATAAGCTGGCTGAGACCCTGAGGGGGAATAGATAAACAAAGTCATTAGCTGCGTGAGCTATATTCTGGTGCTATGCTGAAGCAACTTTGTAGACGTATAGAAGACATCTTCGCTACTTTCCCCTCTGCACCAACTCTACTCACCACCCCCTACCAAACGTCAAGTTCAAGTATGTTTTCTTCGCACTGTGTCAATCAATGCAATGAATGCAACAGTAGTTGAGTTAACTCATGTACCCAGAGACAGTTGTCAAATAAAATCCCTTACAGAATTCCCTCAGGCAATCACAGATCAATTTTTGTTGGAGAAGACCCTGTGGATATAACTAAAGTTTCTTTGTAAACCAACGTATCTCATCCAGTAGTTTATTAAGTAATTCAATGAAGTTCCATTGTCTTTATAATTTGTAGTCTTAAGGTTTCTGGCATACATAGGCAGAGTTTAGCAATTTAACTGTTCACTGTATGCTGATACTTCAGAATTGAAGTAGTTTTTATTTTCTATAATTTACTATTTAAGTGATTCTAGCACTTAAAGCAATTTGGTTCTGTGTGATTTAGAGAGCAGCATTGATACTTTTCAATATATCTTCTAAAATCTCATTTTTATTGAGAAAACAGTGTGAAAGGCCAGGGCATTGCAAGACTGAGGATCAATAACTAATGTACTATGCTGCCAGCAGAGTGCTGAAACATTAATAGAAAGATGCTGGAGGATTGAGTGATGCACTGGGTCAGAACTTTGTGCCATCATCTCTGAGGCCCAAGCTTGAATCAATATCAGATACCATGCTCAACAACCTCAATTCAGCTTCTACTGCATGTGTTTCCACAAGCTTTAGCATAAATTAATAGCCAAGCACACAATTTCACATTTTTATGCCATTTGGATTGTTGATGTAGTCATTTTAAACAAAAAAAAGTTGCTGAATGATTCGACTGAGAATCCCTGAATTTAGAGTTAAGGTGTCTTTTTGGACTTCACTCTACTAACTGGGATATGTCTGACATAAAAGTGCTAGATTCTCATCACAGATAATGAAAACGACTGAAGTGTTCCATTTTCTCACACTCATTCCACTACTTAAATGGCATGACAATTCAGCAAAGCTAAAAAATTGAAAGAAAAACATATTAGAGTTCCATTCAAGTGGAATTTTAAATTTATTAGGTGCACTGCAGAATGAATTGTGTTCCTATGCATCTTTCATTGCCACTGTAGTCGTCATTAAATGTTAATGTATTTCAGCAGACATGCCAGTCAGTAGAAACTGATGCAGTTCAGTAACTGGCCTTTGACATGTGCAGGATATGTAAGTGTGCATTGGCATAAGGGAGGGTTAATTGCTGCATTGGCATGCATGTCACACACAGGCACAGAGGGATGCATTAGTTATCCTTAAAAGAAAATTCATCTACTTCATTGTATTTTTTGTGTAATGTGCAACGAAGTGAGTAAATGCCAATTAATTTTCTTACTCTGTAACAGGATAAATTTTCCCCGCAAGGTCAGACATCTTATTTGTATTTGCATTTCTTTTCATTTTCTCAAGGTCTGATTCGGTTACAAGAGCTTATTAAAGCCCCATCTCGGTACAGTATTCGCTTAAAAATTCGGCAGCTTCCAGCAGATACAAAGGATTCCAAGCCTTTGCTGAAGGAAATGAAAAGGAACAAGGAATTCCACATAATATTTGACTGTGGTCATGAGATGGCAGCAGGCATCTTGAAGCAGGTGAATATGTCCAAGGACAAGACAAGATTGTTTATTCTAATAAAATGTCATGATGCTGGCAGTCTCTATTTGGGTTACAATTACGAAATTAAAAATCCAATCAAAACAGTTTTAAGAAAAGTATTCCATATGTTTACATCAGCTTTTCAAGATTTGTTGTATTGCAGATATTCCCTTAAAGAACTGATACATTAGAAGAGGGTGAGCAGGTTTTGTTTTAAACAAAAATACGCTGTCACAAATGAGTGCAAGTTTGAGCAAGCTTAAAATATGCTAAAGTTGTTGAAAATATATGCACACTCTTACCCATTATTTTCCCATTAGCAAGACCTTAGAAACTTACTACATACTCTAAATATCATAATTCCACAATGAATTTTTAACATTGCCATTGATTCAAGGAGGGAACTGTGTCTATATGTTGACAGTGCAAATTTGAGACATTTAGAAAATTTGCAGTAAACAAAATGGACCTTTCTTTATTGATGGATTTCACGAGCCCTGAGTGTTGCATAGCAGGAGTAATCCATATACTTAGCCAAAAGTGGGCCAGGTAGAATTTCAGTGCAAGCAAATTTATGTTACTCCTGCTTTGCTCCTGCTGTCCTGTCTGTGCATGTGTGCGCGCATGGGCCCTGGTCCCCCACTTTTTGCTTAGATCTTTGCCTTGAATATTACCAGTAGGAGAACCGTATAACAAACAAGACCCATTGAAAGCATCTGGGTCATTTGTTGGAGAATATTGGTGTTTGCGAGGCAGGCTGGGACAGGGGGGCCACGGTTTTGTTGGTGTTACTGTTGTATGTCTCTATTTTTGCTGAAACTGAATGGTGTATGAATTTACTGTCTGTCAACTCAAAAATTCCTAAATGATTTTCAGTCTTCTTTCAGCTAAAGAACAGAACTCCCTAGAGCTGTGACCACTCTGGTAGTGTCAGTAATACAACAGTTGATGGACAGATGACAACAAAGGAGCACCTTTGACCTGGGTGTTTTTCAGCTCTTTGAGTGTTGGAGTTGCATTCATGTGCATAAATGGGGATTTCCTTTAGACTCCTCGCATGCATTATGCAGATGCTGGGCAGACTTTGGAGAGCCAGGCGTTCAGGTAGTCATCTCAGAATTCCCAGCCTCTGACCTGCTGTTTTAGCTGTAGTATTAATGTGGCTAGTCCAATTTCTAAGTTGTTTGTGGTGGAGGTACTGTTGAACTTCAAGGGGAAATGGCTTGGTACTTTTTTGTTGGAGATCGTTGATGCCTGCACTTGAGGCATGAACGTTACTTGCCAATTGTCAGCCCAATATGGAGTTATAGCTTGTGGATGAATACAATACTGCTAAAGCTGATGGTTTACAATACCTATATGATGCCCAGTTTTGAGCTGTTAGATCCATTCTAAATCTATTCCATTTAGCAGAGAGGTAATGTCACACAACATGATGACGAGTAGCCTTTATGTAAAGTTAAGACTTTATTTCCACAAGATTTTCATGGCTGAGGACTTTGTGACAACTAGATTAATGAAAGTGGGGTCAAGTTTCATCTTTTGTAATACCTACTGAAAATCTAAGAATATTTCAGTGGTGTAGTTTTAAGTTAAAAATCTTATTAGCTTGGGAAATAACTGTATGGTCATGTGAGGTGTAACTTTTACATAAACTTACATGCAACCCTTTCCCCACAGCTCCCTCACACATCACAAAATCTTATGTGACAAAATGGATGGAATCTAAAGTGATACGCGTTCAAATGACCAGTTGGGGTATCAGCAAGGTTTGGTCATTTCTGAGGGAAGGCCTCACTGGATTAGTGAGTGTTAGGCCTTTCCTGGGATTTAAGATCTCGCGGGTGAAACTCTTCCTGCAGAGAGCTGTCTGACAGTCAGGGGCCTGCAGCTCTATATTGCTGCTGAGCGATGGCTTGCTGCATCTAATATACCCAAACAGCAGCCTGCCTGACTACAGGGAAGGGGTTTGCTATGGGCAAGGAGGGGTACCAGAGGCATGGGCAGGGAGGTGGTTTTATGAGATCTCCCCACTCACTTGATGCTGTGATCCCCCAAGGAGGACACAATATACCTTTGAAAGAGGGTGACCACCCTTATAGAATCTTGGAGCTGTCAGAAGCAGGATCCTCTCCTCACACTGGGTGAGAACCTGAATGTTGGGCAGCACACGCCTGTATTGTGTCTTGCAGTTCCACTGGGAATTGTTCTCCTCTTAGAAGGAGAGAGAGGCAGTTATTAAGGGAGATGAAAGTGGGTGGCACAGCTGCTACTTTCAGTGTGGGTGGGGAGGTATAACAAGTGAGTGTGCAGGCAGCACAGCGGGCATGCTGGGTTGATGGGTGACAGCTAGTGAGGGAAGACGTTGCAGGCATCAATGTGAGAGGTACAGCATGAGCCTTGGTGAGTAAGCATGATGTAGCGGAGAAGAGAAGCTGGTGGCCCTTATGCTGGTGGAGGGGGAAGTTCACTCACCTTTCTTTCAATAGTGGTGTGTATTCCCCCAGATGGCTGGTGCCGCACTGATCAGGGTGTCAACCTCAGACCAGCTTGACATGGTCTGGTGTTGTGGCCTCTGCTACTGATCCTGGGGAAGAGGAAGTCCCATCCAGCTGAATCTCTAGATCCACACCCCACATAGCAGGGTGCGGATTTCCCTCTGTTTGCCATGTTGGAGTAATGGTCAGGAACGGTGCAGGGCAGCTCTCTTTTTAATAATTCTTGTTCGTATGCATAATGGAGTTTTAAAGATGGCACAGTTGCAAGTGATTCTGGGATGTCCACTGAATGGCGAGTTGTTCTGCAGTGGTGTGTCGTAAGATGGGGCTGGATTTGGATATGAAGGACACCACTGGGGCTAGGTAGGTAGTTAATGAGGTGGGTTTAGTAAGATATGATGGGAAAACTTACGAGGCCCAGTGGCAGAATTCCCTCCAAAAACTCAAAACAACTTGTTCTTAGCTGAAGAAAACTTCAGCCTCTTACTCTAACTTAGAATTGTGGATTTTTCCAAGAGTTGCTGATGCGGGGCAATTGTTGATAGGAAGTTCAAAATCTCTGGGCAATTACCACATAGTTGGGTGTTTGGAACTTCTGAGAGGTCCCAATGCCTAATGTCTAAGTTACGCAGAGTCTTTGACTATATAAAAACTGGAGGATCTGGACCAAATGATTTTAATGGAATTTCCCTCTACAGAACTGTAATGGAACGTTAACTCTGTTTCTCTCTCCGCGGATGTTTCCAAAACTGTGGAGTATTTTGAGCACTTTCTATTTTTATGTTATATTCTGAAGACATTATGCTCCAGTGGAATGTAGTTAGTTATGGCACTTAATTGAAAAAAAATTTTTCCCTCATCACTTCCTTTGCAAAATAAGAAGCGGTATTGAATGCAGTATTCTAGACTTCATTAATAGGAGCATAAAGTACAAATGTAGGGAGGGTTTGGTGAAGTTATGTAGGAGACTGGTTGGACTTCAAGTGGAATACTGTGTACAGTTTGGACACCACACTGGAGGAAGGATTTGAATGCATTGGAGAGAGTGCAGAAGAGGTTTGTGAGAGTTGTTCCAAGGATGAGAAACTTCAATTATGAGAAAAAACTTGGAGACATTGGGATTGTTTTCCTTTGAGAGGAGAAGCTGAAGAGGGGATTTGTCAGAAGTTTTCAAAATCATGAGTAATCATTTAGAAAAGATGGAAAGAAACTGTTCCCACTTGTAAATGGATTAAGAAACAAAGGGTACGGTTTGAAGGTGTTTTGCAAAAGAAACAAACACAAGGTGAGAAAAACATAGTCAGTTGTTGAGATATGGAAAGAACTGCCTGGAAGTGAGGTGGGGGCAGCTTCAATTGAGGCATTCAACAGGGCATTGATGATCATTTTAATGTTAGCAATCAGCAGAATTACAGGGAAAAGGCAGGAGATTGGCTCTCATTTAAAACACTCAGAGAACTGGTACAGACATGGTGGGCCAAATGGCCTCCTTCCACACTATAACAATTCTGTGATAAGGTCTCCAGAAATGCACAAAAAATGGTTGATGTTTGAAAATGGAATGAAATATAGGTATTGAAAATGGTCCTTGAAAATGTATGCACAATTGATATATTTAGTGATCATTCCCTATCAAGTACTATGCAGCTCCAGTAGTTTATTTGTTTGCTGCAGATTTGTAGTACTGCTGCTTTGTCTTTTCAACTTCAGCAAGGAGCTTTTGACCTCCACACTGATAACTTTCCAAAGGCATCTCATAGAATCATGAAACCATACAATATAGAAGAGGCCCTTCAGCCCATCAAGTCTGTACAGCCAAAAATGTGCTACTACCTGCGCTAATCCCACTTTCCCACATTAGACCCATAGCCTTGAATGTTATGACAATGCAAGCGCTCATCAAAGTACTTTTTGAAGGCTGTGAAGATCCCCCCTCAACTATCCTCCCAGGCAGTGCATTTCAGATCCCCACTATCGTCTTGGTGAAAAAGTTTTTTCTCAAATCCCCTCAAAACCTCCTGCCTTTCACTTTAAAGTTATACCTCCTTGTTACTGCCTCTTCGTTTTGAGGGGAACAGCTGCTATCTCATTCTGCATCACTGAATGGAGCATGCAAACCAATCCTTTCCTGACATACTTGAGCATAATACAAGGATGCCTGGTGTGACGGATCAGAATCAGTGTCAACAGAGATTCAATCATTCCTTTAGCACACTTCAGTGACCCTGTTCTTTCAATGTGAGGTGAAATAACCCAATAGATATGTAGATGCTTCCAATCCAGTAAAGAAAAACTATTAAACATGTTTTCTCTTCCCTGTGATAAACATGTTCTCATATGGATTACACCCTCTTAATCAGATCATGGAACATTTTTAATTCAGCTGGTAAGAGGAGAAGCAAGTGCCTTCTATTAAAACACCTTGCGTTCACTGGTTCATGGAAGATTGTGCATTTCAGATTGTGCAAATGAAATCATCGCAAAGACTTGAAGGCCAATGTTACATTAGTCTCCCTCAATTGTTTATTCCTAAACTATCCATAACTTCCTTGAATAACTTTGATGTAAAATTTGACCTTGATCTGATTGTATGTCTGCGGGTAGTTTGTACCTGGTTAAAAAAAATAGAGTAACCCTTCTACAATCCTTTTAGTTGTGATACTGCATAATGGCATGGCCTCTTGAATTATAGTAGACACATCCATTATGGTCAACAAATACTGATTCCCACCTCGTGTTTTAGGTAGGGGTCTTGTAAAAGGTTCCTCAAATATGGGAATGGGTATGAAGTGGTTTTATCACTGCCTGAGGTTTTCCAATTGCCTGACATATATGACATATCCAGCAAAATTCAACTATATCCTTATGCAGCCCAGGCCAATAAAAATGCTTTTGTATTTTGGCTTGAGTTTTCCTTACTCCTAGATGACCTCCTACTGGTAATTTATGTTGCCCACAACACCTCCTTTCAATAACCCTCTAGCGCAAAAACCTTTAGAAGGTAAGTGGATATTTCTTAATCCTATCGGGGTCAAAATAATGCTTTGGAGTTGCTGGGCCGTGATTTGTAACTTCATCAGGGCTGATAATTACACTTACTCTTTAATGATATGAACCATCTGAGAACTTAATGCAAATCATTCTTCACTGCTTTTAGCATCTGATTGATCAATCTGTTGGTATTTTTAACCTGATGCATTATAATTTTATTCAAATCATAAAATTTAATTTCCAGTGCATTGTACTCTAAATTTCTCCTAGTTATGTAAGTGACTGCTGCAGCTTGACCTGCTCATTCATTTTTTTTCCCGCTCAGGCTTTGTCGATGGGAATGATGACAGAATATTATCACTACATTTTCACCACCCTGGTAAGTATTAAGTATTTTCTTTTGCTATTTTCTGATAGGCAAGGACGTTGTTTTCTGATGACCTGTTTTGTACCTTATTCCCTTTCAATTCCCTAAATTAATGCATTGGGTAAGTGCCAATCTGGAACATGGATTAAACTGTGTAGTCCTTTTACAGTGTAAGTGGAGTTAAAGATTATATTGTCCATTCATAACTCATTCTTCCTCAGCAGATCAAAACTGTGAAGTTCCTTATTTGTCCCCAAATTATCTTTCTCTTGGGATCTCCTGGCTTTTAAAGCCTACATTTTGTGTCACTTATCCATTTTACCTCACCTTCTGCCCTATTCTCTTGATCTTTGCTGATGTCTACCTTTAGGTATTTGTCATTGTGGTTTCTTAGTCTAGCAATAGTACAGCTTCATCCATAGAATGTGACCGACGGTTTACTTTCCCCTCAAGTATGACATTTACATTGTAAAAAAATGTATGCATCTCATGCTGGAAGCAGATTTAACACTTAATTAGTTGTAACACTATATAGCAGATTGTAATCACACACACATGAAAGTGCAGCTTTCACCAGTTTTAGTTAGAGACATGTGGGTAGGAATGCTTTAGTCAACACATTCTGTTGGACGATGTCCTATTCTGCGCAATGGTTTTGAAGATAGTTAATTCAGAATTTACAACAGCCTGCCTTGACACCAGAAAATTTCTTTCAGGACATCTTTGCCCTGGACTTGGAGCCTTATCGCTACAGTGGAGTAAACATGACAGGGTTCCAGATTCTCAACACTGAGAACAGCCAAGTTGCCTCCATAATTGAGAAATGGTCAATGGAAAGATTACAAGCACCTCCTAAACCAGGCTCGGGTTTACTGGATGGATTTATGACGGTATGAAGAAAGATTGTAAAATGTCCTGCAGGCAGTCACATTACAAAATGTCAGTGTTTCATTCAAGTAGAAAAATGATGTCACAGCTAGAATATGAAACTATACTCACAGTCCTCTCACAAATGTCAAGGGACAGAAGAGGAAAATACTACTTTGTTTTAGGCGGGCTTACACTATGTAAACTGATTCCATCAGCTGGATTTCCTTGAAGCCCTAAGTTATAGCATTTGGAAAGCTGATTAGCTTTCCTTTATCCTTCACAAGTAATTTGACAGCTTTATCTTTCGTAGGAACATAAGTGTGAGAAAAGGTTAGCCATCTAGTGAAGATCTTTTAATATATTAACTTTGTGATAATGACATCCAATTATATTTTGAATATTAAATATTTAAATGTCATCCCCTTAGCTTGGTAGATTATTATAGATAGTTAACATATTTCGAATATCCCGTTTTAGTATTTGTTTATAATTTACATTTTACTCTGTTAAATCTATGCCCCGGCCCAATCTTTGTCTACTTTGAAGTATATTGATCAGGATTGTACAGTTAATTGAACAAATTGTGTCTACAGTTCCACAATGTAGCTGTAGAGTGATACTAGGCTTTTACACAACAGTTTTACTGTAATTAGTGAACCATTTCAGCATGGCATTGTCCATGAGGGATCTTGGATTTATGTTAACAAAGCAAGCAACAGGATGTCTATTTAAGCAATCAGATTGAACAGTCGTTACTGAAGTACATGGAGTCCAAACCAGCAAGTATAAGATAGAATAGTTTATTCAGTGTAAAGTCATAAACTGAAAGTGAAATAAACAGAGGGAAAAGAGATAAAAGAAAAACAAAATGTAAATATTTTAATTTAAAAAGAAATCTTCAAACAGTAGTTCAAATCTGGCCAAAGGCACTTTTCATAGCCAGGGAGGGTGGTTGGTTGGCAGTAATTATGACGTGGTTAAAAATTCACTTGCCCTATAATCAACAAAGCCTGCTGTCTTCTGGCCTGTCTTAGTTGATGTCTAGATGGTAAGTACCACAGCTTCAGGTCAGGCATGTGTTTGAATGATGGACCTCTCAGTGAGGCACTGGGTGTTATGGGGTGGGTGGGAGATCAGGGCAACTCAAACAGAAGCCTTATGACTCCCACATTTAACCCTGTGAGTGCCCAAGGAGGAAGTTGTTTTCTAATTTTCTCCAAAATAATGGTAAGCATCGGTAACCTCATAGCCTCAGTCTTACCATAGAAACCAAGTCATAATTTAGCACTTCATGTACTTCAGTGAGATCCTCCTTATTCTCCCCGCTTTCTGCACCTCAAATGTTACCTTTTTAAATCACTATCCCGACAAGTACTTCTTACCTGGAATGCATTTTGTTGTTCTTTACTGTGCCATTTCTGATACATTGTTCAGTTTTTATTTGGTATGGACGGTCAAAACCAAGCATGATATTTAATGTGAAGTCTGGCCAAGTCGTCACATTATTTCTGCAGAGAACTTTTATTGTGAGGATATGCGCTGCAAACAAGCAATATGGCGCACTGTGAGTATATATTAGGAATTTAGGTATGGATGAGAGTGCACCTGAGGTTCTTTGATCCATTTGTGTGAATTTTGAGGTAATGGAGCTGCTGGTCTACATGATTTGAGTGCAAATATCATAAATTCTAATCTGTGGTCGATGGTCTTGGCTATTTGTTATGGCATTGGATTGAATTTTTGAATTGCTTCCGTACACCACCTGGATATTGACTCATATGCCTACTTATTTCACTTGAATCTTGTCAAATAACTAGAAGGATCAGAAAAAAAGCTAACGTACAAACTATAGTTGCTGAGCAGTTTACCTGAAGAAGATTAAAAGAGATTATTTAATTAAAATGCAGATGATAGGAGTCTGAAAAAAGAACAAACAATTTTGGCAGCACTGGGCAGGTCAATTAGCATCAGCCAAAAGATGAGACCAGAGAACATTGAGCTGTGGTGGGGATTTTAACAGTTTACCTTTATTTCTTATTACTCTCTGCCTTGCACTCTCCCATCCACCCTATGCACCCATGCTCACTAATTGCTTTCCCCAATTCCAATGATAGAGATGTTTTCCAAGTCTTTGATTTCTGTGAATTGGCCCCCTGTTGTCTCCCATCAGTATCGCTTCAGCCATTTAGCCACCTCCACTTCTCCATTTAAACACTTTACAGGCCATTCTATTTCTTCCTTGTATGCTTTCTTCCTTCTCTTCTTTCTGCTCTTTTTTTAAAAATACCATTCATCTGGGCTCTCCTCCAGTTATGACAAGAGAATTTGCAGTTTGAACTATTAATTTCTCTGCTGTACTTACAGGTATTGTCTAACTTACTGACTGTTTCTAGGAATTTTCTGTTTTAGCTGCAAGAACTTTATAGAGTTGTGCACATATGAAAATGATCATGATATTAGCTAATCTGGATGGCTGGTCACAGAAATGTAACAAAGTGGTTCAAATTTGAACCTTATCCCAACCTACTACTTAATTTGGCTGAAGGCAGAATTTTGCATGCATAATTAAGATGACCTAACAAGCTTTGCAGCTTCATTAGCATAACGTTTCCCTGCTAATTGCCCAACTATCATCTGTTTTTGCTTGTGTACTTTAATCTTGGCTGAGTTATATTCTGACAGCACAGAATTCCATCCTTCAACTATAATCGTTAGGTCAGAAGCTACAGTTTTAATTCATAACCTAAGTAAATTACCTTGCAATCAGCAACAACTTGCATATAGAACAGCGCCTTTAATGCGGCAAAATATTCCCAAGGCCATTTGTCAGACAAAATTTTACACCTAAATCTGGATTTTCATGCCTCCAACTGTTTTGGAATAGAGGTGGGGAATATTTAATGAGGCTTGGCTGAGAGCCTAGACTCCCATAAAATGTTCTACTTTGTTGATATGAGATGTATAGATAAGGTGGATGGTAGGTATCTTTTCCCTTGTGTGGGGGTTTTTAAGACTCGGGCAAAGTTTTGAGGTGAGAGGAGAAAGATTAAAAAAAAAGACTTGGGGGCAATTTTTTTTTACAAAGAATGGTTTATGTGAGGAATGAATATCCAGATGAAGTGATGGATATGGGTACAGTTACAATGTTTAAAAGATATTTGGATTAGTACATGAATAAGAAATGTTTGGAGGGATATGAGCCAAATGCAGGCAGGTGGGACTAGTTTAGTTTGGGATTATGGTCAGCATGGACTGGTTGCATCCAAAGGTCTGTTTCCGTGCTGAATGATTCTCTGACATGTGGGGAGAGGATGGAAACTTTTACTGACAGCTTTGTGATAAGCAATAATAAGTTTCTTTTCCCCTGCAATCTGTTTTGTCAATAGCTCAAAGTTTATTTACACAAGATAAAGGGAGGTCATGCACTTATACTTTCTGCTATTGATATTTTAAAGTTCTGGTTGATTGATTTTTATAAGATTGTAGGATATTTTAAGAAAATTAAGGTGTCTAAAAAAATTGAGCAGGCAGTTCCAATGCGCCATCATACCATAGGGTCCATTGATAGTGTGCAGAGTATGTACTGAGTGAATGGGCAGGGAAGTGTCATGAGTTAGCATGGAAGGTATGCCTTGTAGGGGTGGTGTTGAAGGAATGAAGTTGGCACAGGAAATGGTGGGGATGTCAGGGATGTAGCATGGAGGGCCTAATATACAAGAAAGCAGTTGGACCAAAATCCAAGAGAATTGAGACAAGCCTTTAAAAGCCTATGTCAACATGCAACACTCCTGTGTCCATCTGTGATCTGCTTCCAGACAGCAGGTCTGATTCTGTCTCACACTTGCCCCCTCCTTGACTGAAAGTTGTGTTTTATGAGTCAATTTCTACTAAGGCAGACATGCTGTATCAGATAATTTCCTGGTTTGAGCTACCCAATGCAAAGATGGAAATGCGACCCTGAGCCATGTCTAGAGGCATTAGGTCTGGTGTTGGATGGCTATGGGGATGAAGGAGGTCACTGAGATAGTAATGGATGAGGCCATGGAGGAATTGGAAAAACAAGGACTGACAACTTTTAAAATAACAAAGTTAAACCCTTCTTAGAGAAGTAAATGCATCTTGTACCATATAAGTTGTATCTGTTGCAATTAACAGAGTATTCTTCAGTACCATCAGATGTCAGCAATTCGAAACATTCATGATCCACAGTTCATGAAACTTTTGACTGAACACTAAGTGGTTTGCATTGACAGAGTATTGGATCATTTTCAAGATTAGCATTTTCAATGCTGAGTACACTGAGTAATCTGCTCTAAAATCATAAGAGCCCAGCTGGAGCAAAGCTTGCAGTGAGCACACAGCATTAAATTGCAGGCACACAGCCTATCATTTTCTGTCCATTCATCTTAATAGGGAGTAAATCATGGGTTGGGACACACAATCTCCCACAACACACACTCTGTGGTTGTTGTTCTCAACTGGGAGTGTGAAATTGGTCCTTTCGGTGGTGTTTTACAACTCTGATGCTAAAATGAAAATGAAAAGTTGTAAAATTCAGTTGGCACATTGCTTCTGTGCTTTACAGATTTGCAGCCAGCCAAATATCTGGGCATACTTTCATCAGCAGTCTGAATTAATAAAGCACCATTGACATGGTAGAATGTGTCAAACCATCTTGCAGGAGGGTAACAGAAAAAAACTGATTCACAAAAGGAGATATTGGGTGTAATGACCAAAAGCTTGGTCAAAGGGGAATTAACAGTGGACTTTGTGAGGGTGTGAGAAGCCAAATTAATTTCTTCATGATACATCACATGTCTTGATATCAGAGCTCAAGTTTAAATTTTATACTTACCAACAATCTTTACATCTAGTTAATGATCCTGTTCAGCAAGCAGAATTGGACAGATTCTTTCACTGATATTTCAGTCACGCTCAAAAGAAAACAAGACATTTTTATGTTGCAGTGAAAGAACTGTTTCACAGTTTAAAAAAAGAAAATAAGCTCTCTTGAGCTGTT